ATCAGGAGAGTCCTCCAGGAAGACCAGTTCTGTGGCTAGCCCCATGCTGAAAGTCTCTGCCGTGGCCCCCCGGCTGTCAGCGCTGTTCCCCGCTCTCATCCTCCTCTTGTCCATCTCCAGCTTCTGGGCCTGGTCATATCTGATCTTCAGATAATTCCCAATTTCTCGAAACTCAGCAAGCTGGAGCCAACAGGTCTGGATGCTGCAGCTGCCGGATACCCCGTGGCACTTACACGTCCTCTTCATTGTTGCCTTCACAGCCTGAAAAGGCAGATGTCAGCGCTGTTCCCCGCTCTCATCCTCCTCTTGTCCATCTCCAGCTTCTGGGCCTGGTCATATCTGATCTTCAGATAATTCCCAATTTCTCGAAACTCAGCAAGCTGGAGCCAACAGGTCTGGATGCTGCAGCTGCCGGATACCCCGTGGCACTTACACGTCCTCTTCATTGTTGCCTTCACAGCCTGAAAAGGCAGATCAGTTAGGAGCAGCAGAAAATCAGGGCACAAACAGGCGGGTGCGATAAAACCTTAGAATGGCAAAAGGGGTCACGCCTCTCTCTGTCACCAATTCTGATCCCGCCTCATGCCAGTTGTGGATGAAAGTCATTCCTATGTGAAATGGACATGTGCTCATGTGAAATGAGCCAGTGCTCTCAGTCCAGCTCCTGATGGAAATACATTCCATTGCTAACTGGGAGCTGAGAGAGAGGCAAACATTCAGCTACCTTCCCACTACAGATGGGGGAGTGTCTCTCCAGGCCTCTCGTGAAACACATTCGCAAGGTAATGCTGTTCCCTGGGCTGTCCCAGATGTGTGGGTAAATTCATGTGCATAGCTGTCAGACCAGCACCGTTTACTCAGAAGATATGAAATAATCTTAGACACAGAATGAGAATACTAAGCATTTCTGCAGCGCCCTAAATCCAAGCATTTAACCAATCTCATCTACCAGTCCTTTCTATGGCAATTAGCGGGTGCCAACACTGCAGTATCTAAACGTACAGTTACTAGGCTTTGCTTTATCATCCTTATCTTACAGCTAGGGAAACTGAGGCATGAAAAGATTAAGTGATCTTGCCCAGGGATCTGTTAGAGCCAAGATTAGAATCTAAACTGCCTTTCCCCTGCTACTGTGCTCTAACCAACATGCAACATTTCCTTCCCTAAAAGTGGCCCTGAGCTCCATGTCACAAGACATGAAAATATTGTTTTGATCCACTTGCGATCTGAACAAGTGCTTACAAGCTATGGGTCTGTGAAGCCTCAAGAAATGGTGCACCTTACTATACTGCTTGCTTTGCACAAGCTCTTTGAAGCTTTTGCCGTTTCTGATGTCCAGATTTTAGGGCCTGATTCCACAAGCCTTACTCCTTATGCACATGGAGTAGTACTGACTCATGCAAGCCATCTTACTGAAGTCAATGGGACAACTCAGGGTTGGAGAATGAGACCTGGGAAGCTTTGCGAATGTGTTGATTACAAAGACATTTTGGACACAGACTTGGGTTTTGCTTACTTACAATTCTCCCTGCTTCATTGTTATGCAGATTCATTAAAGCTCTGGCATCTTGTCCGGTTTCCAAAGCATCCACAAATAGTTTGGAAATTCTCTCGCCAAATTCCACATTATCACTGCAGCCTCCCCAGACCCATCCTCGGCCACCTAGGAAAGGACACATCGTTCACAAATAATAGCTATGTGCAGAAGCTCAGGGCATAGGTGGATTTCAAGGCAACGTGCAAACTCAAGAGCTATTAGGAAACTGGTTGGAGGAGCCCATTCTGCATTGGCAGGGAGTTAGCTCAATGACAAGAACCAAGGATTTAGAGGGGTAGCTGTGTTAGTCTACCTAAATAAACTTAAACAACAGATGATCCTGCAGCACCTTGGAAACTTAACAAAAATTGTACATGGTATCATGAGCTTTCGTGGGTGGGTTGTGCCCACAAAAGCTCATGGTACCATCTACATTTTGTGTTAGTTTCTAAGGTGCTGCAGGACCATGTGTTGTTTTTTAGGAACCAAGGAATCATTTCAATGTGACTGTTCAAAGCAGGAGCCAATTTCTAACTTTGTTACAAGGAAGTCAGTAGGGCTGCCCAGTGGAAAGAGTCGAATGTAGCACTACATGTTTTCAGGTCTGACAATTGTTATGCCTTCTAACCAAAAGCAGAGCCATGTTACCACACCAGTAAAATCACAGCTCACCTACACGGCCATTCCTTGAATCATCACAGCCACAGTTGTCAAAGTCTCCCATGCTGCAGTTTCTGGTGAGCGTGTACATGACTCCAGCTGAGCTGATAGCATGAACAAAAGAGGTTTCTCTGGTAGCTGGAAGGAGAGGAAAGAGGCTGTCAACCCTCATGAACAGAAACCCTCAGTCCCCATTTTACTGGGAAGAAGGCCCCCTTGTGGAGCTTCTAACAGAGCCATGGCTGATGAGTGTATGGGTATGAGGGGGAAAGGAGAGGAATGGTCTTTGCATAACACAATTAGGACAAAAGATAAAGTGGTGCAGGAATTAAAACCTCCATAGAACATGGCAAAGGGCTTGTAAATTCTGCCTTCTGTCAGTTTTGTTTCAGTTTCAATAACTTTACTGGCACAAGGTGTCACCACAGTACCCATGTGTATCTATGTATGGAAAGAAGTTCTCACGGTGACAGTGACATTTTATAACAACAGGCCTGATCCTAACTCTACCATGATCAATTATTACTGACTTCAGTTGCTACCCAATAAGGTTTGCACTCTAGCAATTTTCTGCGGTGGCAGGGTCTGACTTGGTTTTCTCTATGCAGGAAAGTTGCACCCGTTTAACTTAAATCAGAAGCAAACTCATGCAAACCTGTCTGTGGGCACATTTTTAAATTGTAGTTTAAGAGGTTTCAGTTCAGCTTAAACCTGCTCCTACCCTATAGGTTAAATTGAAAGAAGCCACTTTAAAGTTGAAATAAGAATGTGTATGTACTCTTTGACTAATTTGAGTTTAAAAGTCTCACCTGAGGTTAAATTGGTACAACTTTCTCAATAAACATACAAGTCTTTACTGTGAGGCTGTCTGCAGGGTGACCTCTGTCTGTCTCTCTTCCAACTTGCTGTCATTCTAATATATGGAGCTAGATAAGTCTAGATCCGACCTCCTTATATAAATTGGTATGTACCCAGGGATGTCAGGAGGGAAAGGAGTGAGCCCAAGGAAAATCCATGCCCTGCCTCTAAAAACACACTTACCACTCCGCAGTCTGTTGTGAGTGGAGAGCTGAAGGGCACTTTCTGGGCAGTTCCAGCGCTCCCAGGTGAACTGGTGTTTGCATTCTTCAATTCCACTGTGGGCCCCCACAGCCACGCTGGTGGAGTAGGTCAGATATGCCTTGCATAGAAAAAGAATGAGTCTTAAACTCCCACCCCTTTCCCAAGGCCACTTGAAACCAAATTCAAATGGGTTTCAACTGTTTCCCCTCATTACACACAGGGAATTGGTGTCCATATTGCAGCTCAGTAAATGGGGTGCCCGAGAGAGGCAATATTTGGTTTGCTAACAGGAAAACTCTATAGTTAAAAATTCATAACAGTCCAGGTATAAATTACCTTTGGCCCGGTCATCAGAAAGTTGTTCACAGACCTGTAAGAAATAAAACAGGGGAAGTGAGATAATTGAACACAGGCTCAGAAGCATCACCAAAAAGTCCTCCTGCAGCTGGGCTGAGACCCTACCATGCTGATGTGTTGAAAATGGCAGAATAGATCCCAAGGCTTGTGAAGATGATAAAGGTGTTGCTCTTCATGGCTGTCAGTTACGGGGAGGTTTTATTCCACTGCCCGATCTAAAGCTCTCCCCGTACCGGAGATGGTTGAATGAGCAGGACAGCTCTGCTTCTCCCCACACCCAAAGGGGGATACTCAGGACAAAGAAAGTTACAAGGATCCAGATCTCGGATATTTATGAGGTGAAGTTCTGAGTGGCCAATGCCCTCTATTCATTTGCTACCCAATGACCCTATGTGGTAAGGAAGCCTCTGATCCAATGGGTGACAAGATAGCAAATGAAACGCCTAAAGCTGCACTTCAAAAGACCAGGAGCAGTTGTCACCCAGCGCCTGTGATGATTCTCAAGGAGAGTAAACTTCCCTAACAATGGGCAACCTTTAATTCTGTTAAACACACCAGCATTCATCTCTGGCTGGCTCTCTCTAGCTAAGGTCCACATACCTCTTTATGATACTTTGCTTCTGCACAGGGGCTCACTTCTTTGTCTCCTCTAAAATAACAAGCAGACACATTTCTGTAGGTCCCCCACTAGCTCAGTGCTCCCTGTGATGAGAATTTCCCGAAACCTATTCAGTGCCAGTTTTAAACAAAGATCTGTCGGGGCTGGATCTCCCTGTTTTGAAGGGAATCATTTCTAGCCAGATTCCCCTCTCACTGATGAAGGAGTTTGTGTTTTTCATAAAGGTAACCACATGCTGCCAAACTAGCATTTCCTACCTCCAGGATGTGAAGAAATCTCACTAATTTGCATTGCTGCAGTTTGGGAAGCCTGTGCACAGAGTCTGCAAGAGTCTCACTCCTTGCCTATATCCCCATGTGCAGCACATTCTGTTCATAGTGAGGACAGGTTTCAGGGGGAAGCAAGTTCTGCACTGTAAGGTTTGCCACAGCAAAAGCATAATTATATGCTGGCTTCAGATGTGTGAGCCTCACAGGTATCCATCTGCACATGATGGGAGGAGCTGGAGTTTCTTCTCACATACACGGGGGCTGTGTCTAGACTGGCCAGTTTTTCCGGAAAATCAGCTGCTTTTCTGGAAATACTTGCCAGCTGTCTACACTGGCCGCATGAATTTCTGCAAAAGCACTGACTTCCTACTGTAAGAAATCAGTGCTTTTTGCAGAAATACTATGCTGCTCCCGTTCGGGCAAAAGTCCCTTTTGCACAAAACTTTTGCGCAAAAGGGCCAGTGTAGACAGCTGAGATTTGTTTTGTGCAAAAAAGCCCCGATCGTGAAAATGGCGATCAGGGATTTTTTGCGCAAAAGCGCATCTAGATTGGCCATGGACGCTTTTCCGCAAAAAGTGCTTTTGCGGAAAAGCGTCCGTGCCAATCTAGACGCTCTTTTCCGAATATGCTTTTAACGGAAAACTTTTCAGTTAAAAGCATTTCCAGAAAATCATGCCAGTCTAGACGTAGCCGGGGAGTAATTCACTGACATCAGAGTGACACCAGTATACAGCCAATATCTGAAAGAGGAGAAGCAGTCCCAAAGACCGTGGTGTCCTGGTGGCCAATATCATTAAGCCCTCAAGGTTAGCGTGATGCCTATTGGTGACAGCAGGCTTCTGTTAATGGGTACTCACCCGGGTGCTATTCCAGGTCTGACATTAAATTATTATGTATCTATGGACAAGCCATTTAACTGTTCTCTCTTCTTTGGTGTTGCCCTCATATAAAACGGATGATTTGCTACCTCCCAGGCATGTTGGTGGGTGAATTAGGAAATGTGTGTCAAGTGTGTTGTGATCTTCAAATGAAAGGCACCATACAACTGCAATGAATTACTTAGGGTGGGGGGGGGGTTGTCCATCAAAATATTGTGTCTATGAAATGTTTAGCAAAAATATATTCAACCCGATTCTATCCCACTGTGTCTGGGTTGCTCACCCACAAATACACATTTGCGTTAGCTCCCTGCTCCTTTGTAAAGCAGAAGGAAAGATAATTTCTACCTCTTAGTGCCAGGTTTATTAGCGAGCATCAGAAGAAATGTATTACCCCCAGATCATGTGTAAGAGAAACCTGGAGTTAGTGTATAGCAAAGCCACAAACAATTTTGCAATTTGAGGATTAAAACTGTAGGCTGATAAGAAAGTATGAATGCAAAATAAGAATCCCGCTTCCTGAGTACAGCTCTTTTACAGCATTAGAGTATTCCCATGTAGAGGGCAAACTGGGGCCTGAGTCACATCTTAACTATTAACATGCTGAAATGACATCTGCCTTGTCTGGAGCTGCAGAAGGACATGTATTAATACTAAAGTGTGACTAGTGTATTTGGAAAAGCTCAAGCATTTAAGCCCTGGTATAATAGCTTGGATTATATGATGCATTTTTATATACATCTGCCTTTTATTGTTTTTAGTGCAGCTATCTATGCAGGCATGCTAGTGTTCATTATCGGAGAGAGATTGTGCAACTCAGAAAAGATTTTGGAGCATCAATTACCTCAGCTCATACTTGATCCTCTTAACCATGTGATAGAAAAAAAAAAGCCTTTTGGGGTGTGGCACTCTTCTGTGAGAGATTGTGTAATTTGCAGGATCTGTCACGTTAAAAATCCTACACTCAAACCACACGTTTCCTTTCCAGGGATATTAATAACACCTTCTAACACATCGTTCCTTACTTCTTATAACTTTTCATCACCTATGCGAGTTGTTGACAAACAAGAGAACATGTTCTCACAAGCCAGCTGGCTCCAATTCATTATTCTCCATTTACAGCAGCATAACTGAAAGCAGAACCTGTCCCAGGGTATGTCTACACTGCAAAGTTTTTTCAGAAAAATGGCTGTTTTTCTGAAAAAAGTCCAGTTACATCCACACTGCAACCATGTTCTTTCGAGGAAAAAAAAATAGAAAGAACAGAGGGCTTTTTCCAACATTGGTAAATCTCTTTCTACGAAGAAGAACACCTTTTCTGAAAGAGCTCTTTCAGAAAAAGGCGTGTGTGAACAGAGAAGAGGAAGTTCTTTAGAAAGAAGAGGAAAGAGGAAAAAGCACAGGTGCCCTGGTGGCCATTCTATCCATAGTAATCACAGTTTAAATACGAGATAGCGTCCATTCAGTGTGGACGCTATTTTTCAAAAAAGCAGATCGCTTTTTCGATGTGCTTTTTCTATGTAGACACCCTTTTGGAAAAAATTTTTTTGGAAACTCTCTTCTGGAAAAGCTTCTTCCAAAAGAAGCCTGCAGTCTAGACATAGCCCCAGTGTGTGATCACAAGCTGCTTCAGGGCAAAAATAAGACTATGAAGCCATAAATGGGTAGAATTAAAATATTCACATTTTTTTATAGCTCTCCCCTCCCATTCTACCTCCACTGTAAAAGTGAACAGAACTTCATTCACTTGATTGGCATGTTAAGTAAAGAGAGCTTTCTCCAGATATTTATGGTAAAAATAGTTCTTTCTACTTCTTGAGCTTTTCATCCATGGCTCTCAAATCAAAGAATAACTATAATGATTTCAATTTGACAGGTGGAGAAACTGAGGCAGGGAGCAGGGGAATGACTTGCAAGAGGTCACACGGTGAAGCTGAGGCAAAGCTCCCCTGGACACAGGTATTTTGAAATTAAGCTTAGTGCTCTAATTACTAAATCCCTAAGTCTCATGCATGGCGAAGTTCATTAGCACCTGTGTGAATACTGACAGTTTTACTTTGCAGGGCTCTGCAGGGTCTGTTTCGTGGATTTTGATCTGCCTCATTTTGGAATCACCCATTTGCTTTGAGTTTTAGCTTCAGCTAAACCTAAATTTCTAAGCAAAAGCCATATGAAGTATCGTAGCTGTATCGGTACCAGGATATTACCGAGACAAAGTGGTCCAATAAAAGATATTACCTCCCCCACCTTGTCTATCAAAGCAAAACACAGTTACAACCTTGTTATATGTCCAAAAAACCCATCTTCACTTGAAGAGGTTGGGATGAACATTTTGACATGCCCAATCTGAGCAGAGCTAAAAGTGACAAGCAACCAATTGGGTGCAACAAAATGTTCAGTTTCTAACATTGTTTGGGTGATTGTGGATTGATAAACTGGCAAACATCCATCAATTATGTTGGGCAGCAGGACTTCTCCGATCAGCCCGGGGTCTCAGTGTCAAGTTTGCAATTAAACGAGGTAAGGTTCAAATTGGTTTCAGGTATCCCTGGAACAATTGATGCAGAGAACACTTTGTGCTTTGGTAGATATTGTCGAGTTTCAGTTGAATTCTGTTGACTTGACAGATAAAATGTTAATATGGTGTTTCTGGTTTTCTTACTGTTTTGGTTTGTTAATCCACTCATAGTCTGAGCTTTTCACAGCCATTGGCACAGGAGATAATCAATGTAATGAAGTATATGGACACGTTCCCTACCAGCTGTGACATTCATTAAACATGCAGCTTGTATTTATTTTTCAATGCTCTATTGACTTTAATGTGTGGTTTGTCACCCAGATCTGAATCTGGATCTCCATGGGTGTATTTTGTGAAATTGTATTTCATTGCAATTTTTTGTCTTTCACCGGAAAACTAACAGCTACTTTTCAGAAATCTGATAGCCAGAATCCTGTGCAAACATGAAAGGGCTGTTGGTATGACATCCCCACATTGTTTTTGTTAAGATTTATACATTCCTATTGTGGAAGTGTTAGTGTTTGGGTTAGGTTCTGGATTCCGAACTGCTGAGTCGCAGCTGGCCTAGCAGGACTGGAAAGTAAACTCTGTATCTTGTACTGGATCAGCATTTTGAGCATTTGGACTTTCACATGAGTTAGAGCAGAATTTGCACCTTTACGGTTAAAATAAAGAAAAAAGAAGAACTATCTGGTGTGATGTGACTGTCACATTAACCCAATTTTGTTTCCTTTTTGAACAATAATTTACAAGCTCTATAGTAAGTATAGAAAATTGCCTGACGGGCGTGGGAAGAGGGTGCAGCAGGATGGACGAGGAGGAGGAGAAGGTGGTGGAAGTCCTTGAAGAGATGGGCCAGAACCAAAATCAAGACCAAAACACCCCTGCAATCAAAAGTACCGTATTTTCCGGTGTATAGGGCGACTGGATGTATAAGACGACCCCCTATCTTTTTAATTAAAAGATAGGGTTTCATCTTATCCCCCAGCGCCCCTCCGCCTCCTTTGCTCCCGGTGTCCCTGGTCTGCTGGAGATGGTCCCCAGCAGACCAGAGGCACCGGGACCAAAGCCGGCGGCGGGGCATCCGGCGTACAAGACGACCTCTGATGTTAAAAAACATCCCCCCAAAATCGGGGGTCGTCTTGTACGCCGGATGCCCCGCCGCCGGCTTCCCCCGAGGCTTTCAAAGCCGCGGAGGGGCTCC